ATAATTGTACAAAGTTTTATTTAATTATTTTAGCATTTTAAAAAAGTAAATCAGAGCTAAAAAAGTGTAAAAACGCAAGCAAATTTGCCTGTATTCTACTACAATCTAAGGGATAATGGTTCTAGATGCTCTTTTGTGAGAGAAGAACTACAAATCGTCTCACCAGATACAGTGTTACTACCCAAATATATTCTTAAGTATTAGTCTTTTCTTCTTTTTCTTCTACTTGATATAGGATTTGTTCGAAGGCATTGCTTAAGTAGTTATTTATTTCAGCTTTATTATAAACTATAATTTGTTTATTTCTAAGCTAGTCAGTTCGTAAATTCTTTTTTTCTATATTATTATTTCTGGGTTTATTATCTATAAGAAATTTGATAAGAGAACATAGAGAAAACTTGAATTGTTCACATTTGTCAAATTTTTTCAAGTATTGCTCTAAACTTCTTTTTTTGCTTTCTAACATTTTTCATATATCACTTCTGTTATCTGAATGAGATTTGAGGACTTTTGCACAATGTACAGCTATAGCTTTTCTTTTAACTGCTATTTCTAATACTTCTTGTTTTCTAAATTCTAATCCTTCTTCGACCTTTTATGACTTTTAATTTTTTCTAAATGCTCAAATTCTTTATTAATCCAATTCTTAGATTTATTACCTTTCTTAAGGGTTTGTGTTTTAGATCCTGAACTGGCCTCTAAACTATCTTCTAATTTCTTTTTTGTCAGTAGTCTAACTGCTTCTGGATCATACTGCTCAAGATCATAGCAGAGAAGCATGCATTGATTTAAGTCTTCTGGTCTATCACAATCTTCTAGATCAAGTTCTTTCTATCTTCTTAGCGATCTTGCTCCTCATATTCTAAAATGCTTACCAGGCTTTTGAGTATTTGAATTAACCTAATTTTTAGCTTCTTTCTGACTAATTAAATATCTATTTTTTTCATTTCTCTTTTGATCATTAATCTTAGGAGTTGGAGTTTGAGTATAAGTATCATTTTCACTTTCTAGAAATATTTCTTTACGAATTTCAGCTACGATTCTTTTTTTATCTATAAAACCTTATCTTTTTTTTCAAAATCCTTTTGTAAATATTCGAATACTGAATTTAGAAATATACTCCATTTTGATTTAATTATATTTGTATAAAGTTATTACTCTCTTTTTTTATCTCTAAGTAAAATACTTTCTATCAAAGTCCTCTGGTCTACAGCATGTTTTCTGTTATAAAATTTTAAAAGTGCTTAGTTTTCTTTTTATGTCTTGATAGTTCTATTTGATTTTAAGATTTTTGAATAGAGTATCTTTATTAAGTATTTTACTAAAAGTTTGATTTGGTACTTGAGTAAAAGAAGTGAAAGTTAAGATTGGAGGGATCTCTTTGGAACCATCTACCCTATTAGCTATTTTTTTCTAATTTTGTAATACTTTGCAAGGATTTTTTCGCTTAAGATGCTCGCAAAGTTTTTGAGAAGTTGAGCATTCTCATCCACAATATTTACATATTGTATCTTTCTTATCATTTTTTATTTTTCTGACCATGGTGTTTGCTCTAACCATCCTACTATTATTTGCTTATAAAATTTTTTTCTTTAATTATTTATTTCCTATTCTTTTCATTTTTCGATTATAGGTTTACTGCCGAAGACATCATTTGTAAAATTGTCAGACTCTTTCTAGGCTATTATAAAACTGAAGTATTAACTAATTATTATTATTCTTTTTTAATCTAGTGATAATAAGATAATTAGTAAATATTCTTGTCTGTATTTTAGCTACTCCAAAAAGATTTGTAGAAGAGCTTGTATTCATCCTGAAGGATGCTGGTTCTATTGGAAAGCTAAGATGTGTATACTATACTCTGATTGTAGGAAACCTATAGCTTCTGCTTGTGGCCAATACTTGTTACATATTAGAGACTATTATATTACTCAATATTATGATAGACTGCACAATACTGTTGCATGAAGGTAATAGAAAGATCATTTTAGCTAGCTTGCACAAAATCTATTAACTAAAAAAAAGTTAGAACAATTCCACAAATTTTTATAGATTTTTATAGATAAGTATTAGAGTTACTTTTTGTTAAACTTATAAAATTCTCAGCAGGGTGGAATGGTTAGATTTAAATGAATAATATATTAGTTAGAAAGAGTTAGCTAATATAAAGCCAATTCTTGATATATTTTTATTAGATTTATTAAATTCCCAGCAAGGCAGAAGAAAAAGTTAGAACAAAATCTTCGTTTGATTTATTTAATAATTTATACTATTTATTGCTCTAGCTTGTATAGAAGCTATTCTTATCTATAGTAAAGTTTGTTAAATTTAAATAGAGTCATATGATACATGATATACTAATTAACATATAGATCTTTTTAGAAGCAATTCTTAAATAGTTAGAGATATTTATAAATAAATCTAACAGTTTTGAACCTTCGGTCCCAAAACTGTTAGACTTATTTATGAGGTAATAAGGATTATTAAACTTATTTTTAGTTAGATTTAAGACAATTGATATAGTTCCTGAGATTAGAAAATACATATGATATAAGTTTGGGGATTTTAAACCGTTAGACTTGTTTATGGGATAATAAGAACTATTAGACATATTTTCGTTAGACTTATCTAAAAATTATTCAAATTAAGAAGCTAGAGCTTGTAGAACCTATTTTCGATATATTTAATAGTTAGACTTAATTTTAAAACTATTAAATTTATTTATAAGATAATAAGGATCATTAGACATATTTTCGTTAGACTTATCTAAAAATTATTCAAATAAAGGAGCTAGAGCTTGTAGAACCTATTCTCGATATATTTAATAGTTAGACTTAATTTTGTTCTAAAAACTCTAAACTACCATTAGACATATTTTTATTAGACTTATCTAAAAGTTATTCAAATAAAGGAGCTAGAGCTTGTAGAATCTATTCTCGATATATTTAATAGTTAGACTTAATTTTGTTCCAAAAACCTCAAACTCTCATTTGTTATATTATAACTTGATACTTTCTAAAAATAAAAGTGTAAACAATGCTAATCTTTTGGAGAGGGGTAGCCAAATCCCCTACTTTTTGTCGAAAATTATGAAAAAAGAAAATGACAGAAGAAAAGTATAGTTTTGTGAGTTTTTTAACCAAGGAGTGTTGTTTCAATAGTTTTTCATAATCTTCTGTTCCCAAAATAACTTGAGTCTTCTTTCTACTTACTGTTTCCAGAAACTTCTCCGGTTTAGATTCCGAACCCAAAAGGGAGTCTACTTAAAATAAGAAGAAAAAAAGGCTTGACCTCTTTGCAAACTGTCCAAAACATCTGCTCTTTGGTATATCATGTTTAAGACTTTGTCGACAACAGTTTATATTAAGAAAACTTCAAGTTATTTGTTCATTTCTGGTCTTGAGTCTTCAACTTGCTTTCGGTAACTGGTTGGTACAAATGATCATCAGAAAGAGTTGTGTGTTTTTTTTGAAAATTGATACTATTTATTTTATATAAAAATGAATATTTTTTATATATAAAAATATCTTTTTTATTAAACAACCTTTTTTTGATCTTTAATCAAGTTGTAGATCTAATTTTTTAGATTTTAATAATGACAATATTATCAAAATTGGATAGATATAATATAAGATATAAATATTGTTTTAATCTTTGATTATAAAGTTTTTTTATTCCTTAGACTGTATTTGGGGCAAATTTGTTCTGAATTTTAAAAAATATTTTTTTACCAAATTCTGTTTGTTTTATTTAAAAATAAACTTAAATTTTTTTTTTTGGTGTTAAGGTAACTTCTTGGTCATGTTTCTTTATTTGATTATAGTTATAATTTTTACAGTATGATTTTTACATACCGTATATATATTTAGAGAATATAACTAGCTACATGTACAACTTTTGGTTGTCTATTTTAAGTAGTCCGCTTATTACTAAGTTCTATACTAAATATCATACCTATAACCCAACTAGGGGTTATCTATTTAAACCCTCTGCGACTATGTGATTACACTAATAATTGAGCAAGAATCTATTTGAAAATCCTTAGTTTCAGATACTGACTTAGGACTTTAAGGCAGGCTCTTTACTCTAAGAGCCCTTTATCCTCAGAGGTAAACCTGCTAGAGCCTTCCGTACCCACAATCCGGCTGACCTAGTCTTCGGTTAATATGCACAAGCTGAGACCCACCACTTGTGTACCAGTTTCTATATTAGATACTATGGCCTGATCACTACTACACAACGTATTTCTGTCCTTATAGAGTTCACTCAAACCCCAGTACACATATTACAGACCGTCTACGGTATCTCCGACTATCTCAAACTACCAATCCAGATGGTCTGGAAGGGCTGTAACCTGCTCCTGATCTTCATAGTTGGGTCTTTTTCCTCTGGTTACTCCTCCGGCAGCCTGGTTGGTGAAGTGCCTTGCCAAACACTTCGGTCTTGTTCAGTTTTACCAGTTCCTCTGATAATGTTCCTAAAATAAACTTAATTATTATATTGGTAATATACTAGTACAAGTTATTAATTTCAACTAAAAGTTAGATTTATTTAGTTTTATCTTGTAGTTGTTATAGTTTTTATTTGCACTTAAGTTAAAGCTTTAAACTACTATGTTATATTTAGATGCAACCTGTCTAGCAATATTTGGCTTTCTTTAAAAGTTCAAATTTAATTAAAGATTTTTGTTTTTTAGATTTAATAGTTAGCTTTTGTTTGCTCTATTAAAATTTTTACTGTATAATAAAATATTACCAAACTAAAATACTTTTTTATAGAAAAAAATTAAAAAAGTGAAAAATACAGTATTTAACAAAAGTTTTTTCGCATCTATATCTGCTTACAGAGAGCTGCTATAGCCTTAAAATTTCTCAAAAATTTAGTAAATAGTTAGCCAAAGTTGTATATTTTTTTTTGTAATTTTTAATCACTAAAAAAATTTTAGATGAGAGCTAAAGTTTCAAATAATTTTTTTTACAAAAAATTTAAAAATTAATTAGGTTCAATTAAAAATTAATAAAATAAGGTACATAGCTGCATGATGCTATCATACAAAACCAGAAACATAGATTTATAAGTATGCCAGAATTGTTTATACAGCACAGGTGGCTTTTCTAGACTGATTCTAATAACTGATAAAAAATAACAGAGTAAATTTATAAGATACTAGTGCATTAGGTAACACTTGGTGTCATCTCTTTTTAGTAATTAAAAATAAAAATTGATACTGAAGATTTTGAAATAACTTTTAAAAATAAAATTACTAAATTTGGCTAAACTAAGCTTAATTCAAGCCAAAATTCAAATAACATTCATTCTGGCTATTTTGCACTGGCCAAATTGAATTAAAAAAGTATAGTGTGATAGCAAATATTAATGATAAGAAGTTATGCTTATGCAGTAGTAGCATAATAAATAACAAATATACCCAATATTTGAAATCATTAACCTATTGTTAAAATTCTGAACAAACTTATCAAAACTGTGAACATATTCGCTATTATAATCAAAAATCCATCCATCACTAAAACTGTGAACATATGTATTACACTGATAAATTATGAATTCATATTGTTGAAATCATCAATACAACTACTATTAAAATCACAAACTAGCTATTATGAATTGCGAATATTTACTTTTGAGATCATTAGTCTGCACACAATTCTGAAATCATAAATAGTACTCCACAAAATCAAATCAAAATTTGAATTTGAATCAAATATTTAATCAAATTTTTAAAAAATTTGACCAAATATTTAATGCAAATTCAAATTTTGATTTGATTTTGCAGAGTACTATATGCATGAAAATAAATAAGACTAGATATATATTTAATTCCATTAGATGATTGATTACTTCAATATTTTATGGTTTAAGTATCTACTAAACAACAAATGATTAGAGTTAAGTACAGTTAACTTTGATTATACTAAATTCTCGGTTTAAAAGTTCATCATGTCATAAACTGAACTTATTAACAAAATTGATAAATATTTTAACGCTTTGTGTTCTATTTCACAGAGTTATTAAATATTCGGTTGTTCAAATTTGACTTAGAGAATATTTGTATACAACTAAGAATTGTTTTGGAGACCAAGGTTGGAGTTAAAATATTAATAAAC